AAAAAAAAAAAAAAAAAAAAAAAAAAAAAAAAAAAAAAGATGTGAGCATCTTTATATCTTCATTCACCATGGGCTCTCACTGAGATGTACTGCACCACACCACAGTTTCCAAAGCAACCAGCCAACCAATCATGGGCTCTGAAACAGTGAGCCAGAGTAAGCCTTCCCTTCTCCATAGGTTGTTTATCTCAGGAATTTCATCACAGCAGCAGAAAGGTGACAATCCACCTAGCTAACAAAGTTTCCCAGAGGATTATCAGTTGCCTGGCTCCCCATCTCCGCTCTGTTGATACTCACACTTGCCTGGTTGGTGGAGGAGTGGAGTACTGCCTTCTGGGAGCTGGTAGGTATGTCATAGAGCTGCCGCTTCTCTGGCTTTTAGGGAAAGAAAACAAGGCAGGGCAACTTTGATTTCTCTTTCCAAAGGGTTTTCCACACAAAGTCCATAAGTTCAGTGTTTTCTCCAATGAAAGACACAAATCCCTGAACACTTTGGTGCTCATAGTCAAGTTCTTGTGTGTGTGTGTGTGTGTGTGTGTGTGTGTGTGTGTACACTTGTTATGTTATTAGAGATGTGTTCAACTACCAACTTTAACTCCCTTTTTTAAACTAAAATTAACTCTATCTCTGTCTCTGTCTGTTTCTCTCTCTCTCTCTCTCTCTCTCTGTGTGTGTATGTGTGTGTAATCATGGACATATATGTACCATGACCCATGTGTGGAACTGGGACCACAACCTTCTGCCTTGATTGAGTCAGGGTCTCTTGTTCACTGCTATGTTGACCCGGCTCCTTGGCCCTGCTTGGGAATTCTTTTGTCTCCACTTCCCATCTCACTATAGAAACACTGTGCTGAGAAAATCAACATTGTGTCTGGCTTTGTGTGGGTTCTAGGGATCTGAACTCGGGTCTTCCTGCACTTGTAACACACTTGCTTTGTCTATGGTACCACTTCTCCAACCCTAAGGTTTCTAATTACCATATAATAACCAGACACAATAATGAGTTTCATTATGATGGTGGAGTTGATGCTTTAAAAGGCACTTTTGTAGCTGAAGGTATGGGGTTGGGTGGGAGGGGTACAAGCATAGACATGTCCCAGAAGTCATCCAAGTCAATACTGGCAGTTCATCTTAAGGGAGTCAGCCATAAGAATGAAGGAAGCTGCCAAGGCCAATGAGATGGGGAACTGGAGACTGGGAAGGAAGCTTGGAGACTGGGCCCCAAGCTTCAGGTGTGGAATGGTTGCAGAGTGAGGCTCACCTTCAGGGTTGAGAACACTGGCCTCTGGACAGGCACATCATATACCTGGGAAGGAAGAGTCGGCAACGATGCCCTTGTGGGTCTGGGAAGCACAATAAGGGTCTAGGAGAGAAAAAGAATGGAGTCAAGATAGCCATGATGGTGATCAAAGTCACCTTCCAGGCAACAAAGACAGCCATTGAGTGTTTATCTTCACTATTGGGTGGGTCCGTCCTGAGGCCATCACAAGCTGAGAATGGCTGTGAATGCAGCCAACACACCATCCTGTATTTATGTAAAATATTATAAGGGCTTCTTCTTTTTTTTTTTTTTTTTTTTTTTGCAAGCTTTAAAAATTTGATTACACAGTTTTCAAGCATAAACTTTATAAATGACAATGTCATGTTGAAATGTCAAAAGTTGGAGGTACCTGCTAGGGTCTGGGAAAGCGTAGGGTGCTGATGGGTAGGGCCCACAGTGATAGGCATGTCTTCCTTCCTGCCATAGTGCCTGCATCAGATTCACCTGGGATGTAGGTTAGAACACGGATGCCTGGTGTGCATGCCTGGTGAAATGAGTGCAGAGGGAGCCCTGGAAGCTTGTCTCATGACTGGAGGTACTCTACCAGTTCCTGCCCTGGACTGTTTTGTTTTAATAGGCTAAGGGATACTGGGTGCCAGGACAAAGGAAAAGTCAATAGGACTTGTCCAACCAAGGCCACAGGCTGGGGAGTAAGGCAAGAGAGGAGATGGGGTGGGGGGGTACAATCAAGGCTGAGGAGCAGCTTCTGGGGATCAGGCGAGGGTCCCTTTATTTATCACTGTCCCTAGGTCCCAGCCTTGGGATGATTTGGTGAATGAAGGCACACAGTCCAGGACAGTGTTCCACACAAACACTTTCCTGGCCGTCTCTGCTGCTAGATAAAGCTGCTATGAAGCCATAGGACATGTGTCTCTCCAAGTACACACTGCAGCTGTCCAGGGTCAAACCAACCCCTTTCTCCGTATGGCAACTGCTTTCTAATTCACGAGGGACTTGGTTCCCAGGAGCAGGACTTTCTTAAGTACTGTCCTAAAAAGGAAACACCCACTCTTACCTGGAAACCCAAGTCACCAACACGGAGGAACAGACTTCTCACAAGCCTGGAAAGAGGGTCTAGCCCTACATTTCACCTGTCTCTGCTTTGTGGTGTCAAGGAATAGACCTCGCAGCCCGAGCTTGTGCTGACTCCTTGGGATACACAACACAGGTCTGTGGTGGTTCACCTAAATCCACCTTTCCCTCACATTATACACGTCTGCAACTGCCCGTGAGATTCCTCCAGCACCCTGGGTTCAGCAATCTTCCAAACTCTGGCTGCAGAGATGGCTCAGTCAGTAAAGTACTTGTCTTGCAAACACGAAGTCCCCAGAACCTATGTAAAAATAGCTGGCATGCTGAGAAGTGGTGGCAGACACCTTTAAATCCAGCACTTGGGAGGCAGAGGCAGGTGGATCTCTGTGAGTTCTAGGCCAGCCTGGTCTACAGAGAGAGTTCATGGATAACTAGGGCTACACAGAGAAACCATGTCTCAAACAAACAAACAAACAAACAAACAAACAAACAAACATAGGTGGGCATGGTTGCACCCACTTGCAACCCTAGCACTGAGGAGGTGGGGATCCTTGGCCATTCAGCTTAGCAAACTGGGCAAGTTCCAAGCAAGGGAGAGACCTTGTCTCAAAACAAAACAAAAAACAAAACCAAAAAACCCTCAACAAGGTAGGGCTGGTGAGATGGCTCACTCACTGGGTAAAGGCACTCACCATCAAGCTTGGTGATTTGAGCTCAATCCCCAGGACTCAGATAGTGGAAGGAGAGCACCGACTCTAGTGAATTGAACTCTGACCTCCACATGTGTGCTGTGGCAAGCATGTGCCCCAAATAAGCCTAGGGGAGGGTTTTTGTTTGCTTGTCTCTTTGTTCTTGAGACAGGCTCTCATTCTAGCCCACCCTGGCCTGAACTTGCTATGAAGACCAAGCTGAATGCTCTCTGATCCACCTGCATCTACCTCCTCAGTGCTGGATGAATGGCACATTCCTCATGCTCTGCTTAAATGTCACCTTAAGATGGCAAATAAAACAAGTCGGACAACTTGAGGTTGACCTCTGACCTCTCCTTGAATAGGCACACATTCTCATCTACACATACACGTGTGTGTACACACCAACATATACAAATGCACACACATACAAACACACATGTATATACATATCAGAAAAACCAAACCCTGGCTTTGTCCCTGGTGGTCCTAGGATGATTGGCCCCAGGACCAAACTCATCAAAGGTTTGATTGCATTTTGAATTAAATCTCTACCCAGTTTTCCCCTGCCCCTCCCTCTGTAGACCTTTTCCAAGCTCTTTCTTGCCCAGCCCCCTCAGGACTTCAGGCCCATTTTATGAAAATAGATAATTTTGTGGGTTACATGTGACTGTGGGAGCACCTACATTTCACCCAGGGACTTTCCGGTGTGTGCCACTTCAAAAATGCCCCGTTTCTTGGGGAAATGTTAAGTTCCAGATAGCAATCACTTAAGGAACAGTCCTGAGAGCTGTGGTTTCCAAAGCCTTACAGAGGCAGAAGGAAGTAATTCCAAGTGAGTATCAGCAAGAAATCCATCCCTTTACACTTGAAATACCAGACTGTCCCTTCTCAGAAAGGAAATATGTTCTGTGTGTGGTTTTGCATGTGTTTTAAGTCAGGTTTTCATGTTAAATGAGGGAAGTTGGAATAGAAAGTAAAACAAAAAGTCAGAAGAGTGGTTTTCCTGGGGAAGAAGCTACAGGAGGAAAGCATGGGCCTCGGGGAGCTGCGTTTGTTTTGTCTTTCTGGCTTTTGTTTTGTTTTGTTCCTGTAGCTGAGCTATGCCACCAGGGCCTGAAGGTGACAAACGGACCAAAATTTAACGGAGAGGACAGCTCCAGGGCCAGATGGCTCATTGGGTAAAGGTGCTTGCTGCCAAGGTTGATGACCTGAGTTCAATTCCTAGGACTCACTGGGTGAAACAAGAGGACCAACGTCCACAAGTTGTCCTCTGACCTCCATAAACATAAGCTGTAATAATAAAAAAAACCTCTCCTAGATAACTGAAGATATGTGCTTAAAAAAAAGTAGAAGAGTAGCTTCAGCCAGGGTCACGTAAAGAAGGCCACACAGAGAGCAGAGCCGCTTAGAATAAAAGTCTGTCTTTCAAGTAAGTCAGACAGACAGATGGACACAGACTGCCCTGGGTTCACATTGGGCTCGCCGGGATGCCCAGTTTGGCCTCCTGGGAATCATTATCAATAGGATGTGGTGGGCTATTCTAATCCAAAGGCCCCCAGAGGCCTCTCCTGGAAGACACACCTGATTCTGACACATACATAGAACTCTCAGGACAACGTGAGAAAAGCAGACAGTTCCAGCCATCTTGGGTTTTAAGGCTGGGCCACCCTGAATCTTGGGAGACTGGAGCCTATGGGTCTGGAGCGATGGCTCAGTGGTTAAGAGCACGATCTGCTCTTCCAAAGGACCTGGGTTCAATTCCCAGCACCCACATGGCAGCTCACAACTGTCTGTAAAGCCAATTCCAAGGGATCCATCACTTTCCCAATAATGCATATAAAATAAAATTATATATAAAAAGGAACCCATGAAATTGACTTGCTCCAGCTGTGGCTGTGGCTTGAACCTGCAAACTGCAAGCGGGAACAGCTCAAAGGGCTGGGTTTGGACTTGGTTTGGACTTGCCTAATTCTGCCTACACCTGCTCCTGACTGGAACACATTCTCTGGGCCGCCTCAAGCTCAGGGATAAGTGGTGAATGCCTGATCAGGGGAGACATCCATGCTGCCTTCATGAGAGCCAGCACGTTCACAGCCGATTGCTGACTGTCCTTCTGGCTCTTGCTTTTTGGGGTAGAGGAAATTACTTAGAATGTCCTAAGTGGTACAGCTAGGGGCACCTTAGGTGTCACCAGTCTAATGCTCTCCTGACACACGAAGAAAGGGACAGAGGGTGCTGGAGAGTTCCTAATGCTGGTAGTTTCTAGTGCTAGTAGTTCCTAATGCTAATAGCTGCCTCTGAAGTCAAGGGGGCCAGGACACCAGCCCCTTAAATGAAAGAAGAAGAGAGAGGAGGAGAAAAAAGGGAAGAGAGAGAAAGAGGAGGAAGAGGAGGAGGAGGAGGCAGTGGTAAAAGAGGAGAGACAAAGAGGAGGAGGAAGAAGAAGAGAGAAAGGAGGAGGAGGAAGAGGAGGGAGAGAGAGAGGAGGAGGCGGTGGTAGAAGAGGAGAGACAAAGAGGGGGAGGAAGAGGAGAGAAAAGAGGAGGAAGAGAAGAGAGAAGGAGAGACAGGAGGAGGACACCAGAATATAATTAGGACAGACGAAGAGGGAACCTAAAGGAGAAAAGGCAGGGACATTCCCCACGTATTTTCTGTGGTCCCTGGAGAGCCTACTCAGGGTCAGTTCCCCTTCAGTCACTGCGGTTTCTCTTGTTCACCACAGGTCTCCCCCATCCCCCGGAAGGATGCATTCTCTGACAGGCTTCAGCAAGGCAGGCCTCACTGCTCACACAGCACCTGTCCTCCCGATTTAAGCTGCAATGGAGAACTCAGTTTCCCTTACTCCTGTCAGTGGACAGTGGAGCCTGTGTGTCACAAGGCAGCTTGGGCTGAATCACTCTGTCATTAAGCAGGGGAGCTTGGCCCTATGCTGGGCACTTGGGGAAGACCAGTGGACCAGTGATGCCCAAGGACCGGTGGACATCATGTCTGCCTTCCTCCTGATAGTAAAACAGACCTTTAACCCTTCCCATCCCTGTTAGTAGTTTTGGAAGGAAATTCAGATGAAAATGGGCTGGCATGACGTCTTTTCCCCATTTTGATTTATCTATGGTAAGTGCACAGATGGGTGCCACAGGGCACTTGTGGAGGTTAGAGACGCTTGTGGAGCCTACCTTCTCCCATCAAGATGTGAGTTCTGGGCATCAAACTCAGGTCGTCAGGCTTCCTTTGGTAGATAAGCCGTGTCACAGCCCCACTTGACCTAGTCTTAAAGCCCCACTTGAGTCAGCCACTAAGACATCTGTTGGCTGCATGGCCATTTGAGTGGAATGCCAGATGTCAGATGTTACAAGATGTCTATGGTCATTGAACACTGAGGCCAGTGGGGTCTTTGTTTGTTTGTTTGTTTGTTTGTGAGACAGGACTTCATATAGCAAAAGCTGGCCTTAAACTCACTATATAACAGAGGCTGGCCCTGAACTCCCTGTCTTCCTGCCTCCATCTTCCGAGTGCTGGGATTATGTGTGTGCTCCAGCAGGCCTGGTTTACGCAGTGATTGGGATGGAGCCCAGGGCTTCAAGCATGTTGGATAAGCACTCCACCAACTGAGCTTCTGCTCCAGGCTGCTTGTACTGTACGTTTTAAAGCCCCAGGAAGGCCAGGGTTGTGGGGCAAATACCAAATCACTATTCTCCTTTGTCCTTTCAATTTCTTGCCTTACTTGAGGCCCTAAAGTTGTGACTGCACGTAGACGGACCCCTCCTTTCTTCTGCTTATAAAATAGACAGGTGTCACACAAGTTCCACGAGACATCCTTCACCTTCCTGGTCTGTTTATTCTTGAACTATTTGTTGAGGACCTGCCTCATGCAAGATTCTGGGGTCATGGGGCAGAATAAAATAAGAGTCCCTGCTCGCTACCTTGTTTAATTTTCTCCTTACTCAATTCTACTTCCTGAGGAGAATTACCCTGTGTGGGTTCTAGTCTCCTCACACATTTACCTGCATACAAGAACACACACACACACACACACACACACACACACACACACACACACACA